CAAATAACGTCGAGCGTCAAAAGAATTCCGTCCGTACGGGATGAGGTTCGGAACGAAAAAGAACGCTCCTCGTGCTCGATACCCCGAATCCGACAGGACTTGGGGGTGGGGGATTAAAGGGCGCATCGCAATTAGGAAATCGCCACAGGTGGTCCCCCCTGGTAACATCCGACCTATATTTGCATAAAGGCCGTGACCTATAGACACCTGTGATGACCCGTCCATCACCGGCATTTAAACTTTCACCCGGGACTTGTCCCATAAAGTGGCGCCGCCCCGCTCACAGACTCAGGACTTCCGCGCCCGACGGTCGGTAATTCCGGCGGGAATTACCCTGTCTTACCGAGTGAACATAACTAACCGATAATTCAATTGTTTACTGGTCGTTTGCACTCGTTCTTTTCGATTTTCGGTCAGGGGAAAAATAAATCCGATGTCTCGGAACTTCCCACGCTGCTTTCTTCTTCCCTCGAAAATTTCTTCGTCGGGAGAGCTGCCCTCCGCCCTTCAGGGCTCATCCCCTGGGCGTGGGGGACGAACGGCTTTCAGGGCGATGGAAAGCCCGCTCCGGGGTGGAAAATTCGGCACTCCTCGCCTTCCGGTCGCGGAACGCTCGTCCTCGGGGAAAAGGAAAGGGCTGGAGCTGTCTGACCCCTCTCTCCCCGGATTATTCCTGGAATAATCGCTCACCCGGGGAAAACAAAAATGCTTATCCTCGGGGTCACTCGGCGAGTGGTTCTACTCCTCATTCCTGAGGTCTCTTTTTTTTTTCTCTATTGCTCCCTTTTGGCGTCATTTTGTAAGGGATTTCGGCTGGTGCTCCACCAGCAAAATATCCCCAACTACTTCGGCCTGCTCTATCGCTCAATGGTTGGGCGCCAGCTGGATTTTATCCGGGAAATCCAACGGTAAACCGGCCTCAGGGGCAAACTCGTCTACCCTGAGGACTTTCGTGGCGGGACTGTGGGTGCCGAGCCAGCATCAGTGTGACACGGTAGAGTGGGCGAGGTCCACCAATGTCGGAGCAAAATCCATTTCCCTACTCTGGGTATGTTCAACCCCAGAAGCTAACGAAATAGTTCTTTCAAGGGAAAACTCCCCTGTTTCCTCGTCCAAGACGTTCGAACCAGTCCATAACGCTTCCTATCGTTCTCCAGAGGGCTCGAACCTGGAGAAGCTGCGGATTACCTGCGAATCCTTCTCACCCCGCAGGGCGCCGAACACTGAGAGGCGGATGCGACCTCGGCCCCTGGAGACTATCTCACTGGCCGAGAGTCCACTCCAACTAACCGCAATGCTCGGTAAAAGCAATCTCATTGCGGGTCAACACCCGGAGTACTAGTCCTGGAGACACGCGAAGTCGGATGTCCAGGAGTCTCCATTACTCCCCATCCACGGACTCCCGCACTCTCCATTCCCTTCGTCACGGGTCATGAATCCCTGGAATCACGGAACGAAGCATTCCATGACTCCAAAGCAATTCCGTTCTTTGCGTATGGGACGCTGAGCGTCCCATTCTCTCGCTGTCTCTGACTCTCAGAGACAGCGTCCCCTTAAGAACCCTTACGGGTTCAAGCCACTACCAACTATCATCGAGGACCGGACAATGCCATCCGCTCGAATCAAGCGCCTGTCATCCACTGTCTCGAAATCTCCTAGGGCCTTCTACCCCTAGTCTGAACATCTCACCGGCGGTGGGTCATCCGTTACCCCACCACCACCAATCAGCTCGACGGCAATCGAGGGGGCGCTAGTCCTCTCACCTAGCCGTTGGTCCCTAGGCTAAGTCGATAGTGCCTCGAGAGTCGCCTAGTTGGAACGCCTGTACATCGGCCCTGAACTCCCTAACACAGCTGGGCGAGTTTCTAGATATGGCGACAGGGTATCGACAGCCTACAGTAATACCGAGGGGCGCGGCTACGCCCAGCCGCGCATCTCAGTATTAGTGTTTCATGGTCTTCTCACCTTCCGAGCGGCCCTCGGCCGTCGTCAGATGTCTCTCTCATCTTCGGCTTAGCTTCTGCAGCTAGCCGCTAGATGTCGTTCCTTGCCTTTCTCTCTCTCTTTTAGGTCTTTCACTTAATATCTCTTATTTTTCCGCAGGGTAATATATTTACCCCGGAACGAGATAAAATCTCGTTACAGAACTCAGAAGTGATGAACGCGCGCGCAAAGCTGCAGAATAGATGATAAATCTATTGGAACCGCCTGCCTACACCTAATCCTTCAGTGAGACAGGGGGACGGATACTAGATGGAAATAAAGTGAAAGAGCAAAAAACTAAAACCTCTCTTGCGAAGTAGTACATAACGTTGGTGCCACCGGGGAACCGAAGGTTAGAAGAATTCCGTGATGAGCTTTTTAGTGGGGCAGGGCTGACACAGAGTGTGACAAAAATTCACTATCTTGCGTAAACATTTTCTCTAAGATCCTCGGAAAAAAAACCCACACACACAAACATATCTTAAAAAACGTATCAGGATGATTTTAGGGATCATGAAACGCCGACAAATCATGAAAATTTCACATTCGATTTTTGGAGTAATTACAATAAGTTTCTCTCTTTGGGTCCGGAAGTTAGTAAAATCACTATTGAAAATAATTCAAATAAAAAGTTAGAATGCTGAAAAAACAGAATGAAGCATGTTCGAATCATGTACACATAACCTACAGTTTCACGTGTCTCGAGAACGTAACTGACCGAACTACACTTCATTAATCATCACGTGTAACTACAGGACGTCCCATAGCATGTGGCAAAAGTAAATTCCGAATATCTTGAATACGGTTGAACGTAAATAATTGTTTTTTTTTATTGCACAAAGAACACTCGGAAAATAATAATGCAATTTCTTCCGAGTGTCCACCATCACTTGTACTATAGAACTCTATCCCACGTTCAAAGCTATATTCGAACGCTATATTCTATTCCCATAAATAATGCGAGCTTTTTGAGAAAACCCCACAAGCAAAAATCACAGGGATTTAAGACAGGACTGTGACGTGTTCTTTCCATGCCCCCGTGGGCATACCTAATGTTAACATAGGAGTGAAAAAAATATTTCGAATACTCCAGTAGTCCTGTGTGGGGCGATCAGGATGCTCATGCTTCCTATCGTCTGTTGTGCCGTCCTAATCAAATTTCTCAATTAACTCGAAACTACCCAGGGATTAGTGAAAAAATACGTGAATTTTCAACAAACGAAAAATATTTTTTGGTTAGTTCGTTCAATCACTCTATTTATCGTCAGAGATTCAAACGAGACTCTCGAATGTGAGTGCTATACTCAGAATGACATGCTCCTATTGCTGCAGTAGCCGTACCCCTCTTCGGTAATGTGTAATATGATTTAATGAGAAATGATCATTCTTCAATAATTATATTTTCCATTCTAAGGTGTAATTTGCGAGGGACTGATGTGTGAATAAAATTTGCAGAGAGTTTTCCTTTCAGCCGTATATTAGACTTCAGATTACACTGTCAACTTGCAGCATACTAAGCAATTTATTATGATCACATGCTATGGGATACCTTGTACATATTGATAATTCACGTGTCTCGAGAACCTAGCTGAGTAATTCACCTCCAGCCAAAAGATTGAGAAGGAAAAAATTCTATCAATAATTAATAAAGTTAATGGCAATAATTAATAAAATGAATGGCATGTCGTATCCATGAACATATCAATTCGATTAACTAGAATCATATCTACTCCGAGTGAAAAAAATATGAGAGGTGTTTTGTTCGAAATTCGATAAAGAAAAAATTAATATAACTATTTTTACTATTTGAGTCATATTTTTGAAGGTATATTGAAATAACCAAGAATTCAACGGTTTTATTTGTTTAAATAATGGTTTGGATCGGAGCTGAACAATTCTTTTCCATATGTGCGTTATTTAAATCCTAAAGAATAGTTCGAAAAACGTGGAGAAAAAAAAATATATAAAATTCGTACGTGGCACGATAATTTTTCAAGACTCACGCCATGTCTTCCTGCGATTGTGTCAGATACGAATACTTTGGTGACCCCCTATTACGCCCCAGCGTAGTGAGTAGCACTTTAATTTTTGGAGAGACTCTCACGGAATTGTCGTACATTTTTCTCTCCATGTGAGATATGTTTCTCAAGACATTTGACCCTCGCGAAGTATAATCGTTACGACGTTAAACTCTAGCGTGGTATGACCCTTGCAACGTTTGATCCTCGCCAAAATGATTCTTCAGATTTTTTAAATTCTAAACCAAGTGCTGCTACTCGTGATTTTTATAACTTAATCTCCTCCATTGACGATGATTAAATCTCACTATCTGGCAACCCTGACTGAGCGGAAATTTAAAAAATCTCCTCGTGTTGCACATACAGTTACACATCCTGATCGTGCAAGAAAAGAGGATTCCGACTGTAATAGTTTGCATTTGCTTCGTGATCAGACAGAAGAAAGTACGCACTTCCCTCGCCGTACTTATAAAACAATAGTATATTTCTAACATACCATCGAGTGGAAGCGAAATGTGTACTTTACGCCCGCCCTGGTGAAAAGTGGCAGCTCTGAGGAATATGAGGTTCACAGGTCTAACCGAAGGCGAGATGCGTTAACTCTCTTTCATGAAGAGCATTTCACAAATTTTTAGGCACTTTTCATAAGGATTGGCCGTCTCCACTCTGTCGCCCAAATAATGATTCATTCCGACTTTCACAAAAAACTGTTAATGCATTGTTGTGAAACTGTGTCGGAAAGTGAAGTATGACTCGAACCTCACCTGTGGCTCGCCCTGTAAACTTCACATTCATCAAGAATTTAATTTCACTGTGTGAATATACTAATGTAAACAATCTATGATTTTGTTTCGCTCTTGCATAATACAATAATTTGTGTAAGAAGAAATCAATATTTTATTTTAAAGTCATTAGTAATGGACACAGAAAAAGATACGTGGTAATGTATCGGTAACCATTATCTTTAGATAGTTCCATGTGGGGCTGGAAGAATTTTACCTGTTTGTGATTTTTCTCGTTTCTTAACAACAACTCCCGCCAATAATCGATGTTGTGAATTCCTGGTGCTTCCTCCTGATGTAGTTTTACTTGTACTGTGTGGTTTCTGCAGTTCTTGCTTCAATCTCTCATTCAGAGATGCTTCTTGAAGGTGGGCTACCCTTGCCTTGAAGTCACGCATTTCTTCTTCTTCTTCCAAACATTTCTTTCGTTCTTGCTCGAGTTTTGTACGATCAACGAGATCCAAGAACTCAACTTCATCATCGTCCAGACCTTTTATCATGTTTTCTGCATTCATACCAAAAATTATTAGACGATTATTTTATTGTTTCAACTCATACGCTAAGATATTTTTGATAATTAGAGGTTCAAGTGGTTAACCTTGTCAACTAGTATGAACTCGAAGGCAAGGAACATCTATAGGAATTCACTTTTTTCTTCTTCACATAATGATTTGAGATTTGTTCTCTACTTTTGAGACATTAGATATTCTTATATTTTATATTTTTGAGAACCGACTGTAATGGTTAGGTGGGTGAGGTGTTGCTCCGGCGGACATCCAAGCTAGGCAGCGTTGAGCTGGGTTAGTACTTGGATGGGTGACCGCTTAGGAACGCCTCACTCGCACAAAAATTGCGGGCGGTAGGTACGGTGTAGCGGCCTAGTGTCTCCATCTAGTCAGTGTGACAGATGGATATATTAGGGCACTGCACAATCGGCCGGCTGTGCGACTGGGGTTTTATATGGTTTTCCGTGCAGTTCTAGCTCGAATGGGGCACAGCTAAGAGTAAGACGGACATGATACCGCAGATAACAATGAGAGGGAAAGAAAGGAGGGGCGGCAGGCTAGAGGAGGGGTTTCAAATCGAGAATTGCTTCGATAAAACCAATGAAATAGAATATATATATATATATATATATTTTTTTTTTTGAGATATTAGGTATGCGACTCAATTTTTACAGATTTTTCAGTAAATTTATTTAATATAAAAAAATAGAGAACAACGAACTTAATCTTGGAAATATTGTCCATCGTTTTCTATGACCTTGCGCCATCTCTCAGGTAACATTCGAATGCCGTCGCGAAAGAAACTTGCAGGCTTCCAGGCGATAAATTCATCGATGAATTTATGTACATCGTCCAGCGTTTTAAACTATTTATTCACTAAGGCGTGCTGCATGGACCGAAACAAGTGATAGTCGGATGGGGCCAAGTCTAGTGAATATGCCGCATGCGGGAGAACTTCCCATCCCAAGTTCAAGAGGGTCTTCTGAGTCGCGCGAGCAATGTGAGATCGAGCCTTGTCATGCACCAGTATGACTTGCCGGCTTCCTTGCCCAGTAAATGGCCTTTTCTGATCAAGTTCTTCGCTCAGTTTGTTCAGTTGTCGACTGTAGCGATCCGCAGTCACCGTCTGACCTGTTTCTAGGGGTTCGTAATAAAGCACACCTTTCATGTCCCACCAGATACACAGGAGAATCTTCTTTAAGTGGATGTTTTGTTTCGGCGTCGATGTACTGGATTGTCCGGGATCTACCCACGACTTTTTACGTTTGGGATTCTCTTTTGACCTAGGTTGTGTTCGATCAACACATGTGGGACCCACCTTCCAAGTTTTTGGTTTTTTCCCATTTGACGTAAACGCTTAGAAATAGCTGTTCGGGTGACTCCTAACTAAGCTGCAAGCTCTTGTTGCATTTGNGTACTGGATTGTCCGGGATCTACCCACGACTTTTTACGTTTGGGATTCTCTTTTGACCTAGGTTGTGTTCGATCAACACATGTGGGACCCACCTTCCAAGTTTTTGGTTTTTTCCCATTTGACGTAAACGCTTAGAAATAGCTGTTCGGGTGACTCCTAACTAAGCTGCAAGCTCTTGTTGCATTTGCGTTGAGTCTTCATCGAGTAGAGCTTGCAATTCCGCATCTGTAAACTTTCGAGGCTGTGCAGGACGCGGCTGGTCACTCAGATCGAAATTAGCACTTCTAAAACGTTTGTACCAATAATTACACGTTTCATAAGATACAACGTCGGCACCAAAGACACTACACATTGATTCCCGTGCTTCAGAAGCATTTTCTCCTTGTTGGAACTCGCATAAAATGCGGTGCCGAATGTGCTGTTCATCAGTTGCCATCGTAAACTCTGCTATTCTGAAAGGTCATGTAACTTACATAGACTTGTCGTTCCGTGTTCTGAAACCTTTTGCACGATCCTTTCAAAACCAGAAAAGACCGCGAATATATATCTATTTTAAATATAATTTTAAGCTCGAAGAAAAAATCTGTGAAAATTAAGTCACACGCTTAATATGTACAGAGTAGAGCAGCGTATAAACCATATGGAAATTACCCGAAAATATTGAAAAATAGCATAAATACAATTTTTTTCGATGGTAATTCTGTTAAGCTGGATGCGTCATTATTTATGTCATTCCCAAATCAATCCCGATCATAATTATGGACCCATCACAATAGCAATCGACAACCCATCCGAAAAGGGTCCATGACCCCAAATTTACGTTACAGTAAGAGGGGTGGGGGGATTTAAATAATGAAGCATGTATTAGGCATAGAGTCATGGACAATCAGTGCATGACTCTATGCCTGAAGAGTACATAATTATTCCGCGACTTGAATTGGATAACACGTAATTGTACGATGCATTTCAACGCATTCAAATCCTTCTGGTTTCTATAAAACCTAATTTAAGCCGTGGGTCTCAAGAATGATCTGTCATATGGGTATCTGATCGATTCAGATAATTTTACTTGACACATAATCAGTACTTCATCAAGGCGAAAAAATTGACGCATGATCAGGTACACCACAATCAGGTCTTGTCGATCCTCTCACTGAAGAGTGTGCTTATGATGAGTACATAACTATGATTGCAACTGATTTCGGGAACACATAAATCGAAGAGTCATTTTCCGCTCAAACTCTTTGAATCATGATCATTCACATGGACAATCAGTCCATGGCTCCATAGTTGCCAGATTTGGCGACTTGTTTAATTCGAAACATAGTCCAATTGGAAAAAATCGAAATAAATCAATATCAATTAGAAAAATGCCGTTAGAGCGGTAGGTCATCCAACGTTAAAGTGAATCAAATTTGACGGAAAGTGACGGAACTCCCGGTAGCTCGGTAGGTAGAGCACCAGACCGGCAATCTATGCATCGCGATTTTAAACCTCGCTGTGGCATTCCTCATTTTTTTCCGAAATTTATTCACAAACATCATAGTTGCCAGATTCGGCGAGTTGTCTCCAAAATATTTGGGGACAAACATGGCTCTGTGTCTGAAGAGTACATAATTACTCCGTGACTCGAATCGGATAACACATAATTCTATGATGCTATTTACATCCCTCTCTCTTCCATGGAATCTAATTCAGGCACGTTGGTCTCAGAAATGATCTGTAATGTGGGTTTTATTTGTGACACATAATCAGTAAACCATCAAAGGGAAAAAATGACGTATCATCAGGGACACCTCAATCAGGTCTAGTCGATCCTCTTACTGGAGGGTATTCTCATGACCAGTACATACTTATGATTCAACCTGATTTGCGGAGCACGTAAATCAAAGAGTCATTATCCGCTGAAACTCTCTGAGTCATAGTGTTTCACATGGACAATCAGTCCATGGCTCTGTGCCTGAAGAGTATATAATTACTCTGTGACTCGAATCGGATAACACATAATTTTTTTATGCATGTTTGCTTATTTAAACCCCCCTGTGCCTCCCTCTCTGTGCCCAATTCTTTGCATCCTATGGTTTTGAAGCAATCAGCTGTCACGAGTCTTGTCATCGCATTATCAATTAATTCTTTTAGAACAATAGACTTTTCTTGATAGTACAAAAACTCACACAATTTACACATGGATTGTAACGAATATGTGGGGATGTCCGTTAGGAACACCACCGAGACCTGAACAGAACCACCTCACGACAGGAAAAGTCTATCTGTGACCAATTAATTAGGGTGAGAGAGAGATTTTTGTTTCCCACTCCGATGGAGAATTTTTGAGTTTAGTTTTCCCATTCCGATGGAGAATTTTTAAGTTTAGTTTTCCCATTCCGATGGAGAATTTTCGAGTTTAGTTTTCCCATTCCGATGGAGAATTTTTGAGTTTAGTTTTCCCATTCCAATGGAGAATTTTCGAGTTTAGTTTTCTCATTCCGATGGAGAATTTTTGAGTTTCGTTTTCCCATTCTGATGGAGAATTTTCGGTTTAGTATTTTCCCACTCCGGTGTGGTAATTGTTGATTAGTTCATGATCGATAAATAATTTTTGAGGGCCCATAATTTGATCGAGAAGAAGGGCCATATTTAGAGTCATCCGGTCTTTTTGTGGGAATAACCCTTTCATAACTCTCGCGGAAATCATATAGGATTAATTGAAATATTAGCGCTCCAGAATTTTAGTTGGGTATTACGGGGTAAAATGGGTCTTTTTTTGAATGTTTTTGGAAGACTCACTTGGGGTAAGCGCAACCCTTAATCCCGGTGAATTGCCAGATTGCCTCAGAGTTTCGGGGGGAAACGTTTATTTTATTTGTTTTTGAAATAACTATTAGTAATTAATTATTAATTTTGCCTCGTAAATCTCGGAGATTTGATCCGTGAGGTGCATCTTAAATGTTTAGAATCGATCGAGTCTCCATCCGCTCTAAAAATAATTGTTAGGAATTAATTTGATTTAATTTTTTATTTGAATTTACGCATGCGAAAATCCCCGAATTTATTCGGTGGCTCCCTTAGAGGTCTCCCTTTGAGGAGAAACTATCTCCACCAATGAGCGCTCAGCATGGTTGGTCAGAAATTCCGAGGGCCCGATGTGCCGCAGCACTGCCCTCCGAAACCAGTTCCGCGTTGACCGCCATCAAGAAGTAGTCGCGTGTGAACTTCTGTGTGCCCACACCGCAATTGTACAATTTGGATTATTGTGCCTTTCGGAGAAGCTGTAAAGATTAAGGATGGTCCGAAAAGGGAAGAGAACCATTAAACATGGAAAAACAGTGAGTATTCTGGAATTTTTCCCCTAATTTCGAGCCATTTCCGGATGGCGTCGTTTTCCCCTTTATGGCGGTATCCCTCGCGTGGCCCTCAGCCACGTGCAGTGGTTGATCACCCCTCAAGTGGTATCTGGTGGCCCTGATTGGGCATTTTTTTGGCATTCTGTTGGGCATTATCCCTTATCCCGGATTTTTATGCACGTGTCCTTCCGATTTTTGGATCGGCAATTCCACCCAAATCGGGTCGGTAAAGAGTTCTCGC